TTTGTGAGGAGATATATTATCCCATTAAAATATCCTCACGCTCCTTCAGAGTCACCCCCAAAGAAAAGAGGAGGATCATTGGATATTCTAGAGATTATGAAGATTGCTCTTCGATTTTTCGATAAAGACTTGATTTTGCAGGCGGAAGATCGATCATACAAAAGTTCGGGGAGAACAGTTAAGGTTATGGGCGACTACAACGCCAGTGTCCCTCGAGAAAGCGTCTATGACACGGAATTGATGAGAGTTCTCACCAACTGGCTAAACAAAACAAAAAAATATGAGATCATTGGCCAGTGGCGCCTCCGTGAGCATGAGGACCACAAATATATTGACATTGTCATCAAGAAAGCAGGAAAACCTACGGTTGTTATCGAGCTTTTGGCTATAGGGAGTCAAACTTCTATTAAGGACCATATCAGCAAGACGCTAACTTACAAACGTTTACTCCCAGCAGAAGAAGCTTGGGTTGTTCATTTTACCTGTGAGGACGACTATTTTAAGCACCCATACTGGCAAACCGACGCGGAACTGGACCAAGGGGTGAATTTGGTGCATTTCTGGCACGATAAGAGTTTTAATACAGTGCGGATGAGTGCTCGCTGGAAGGACAGTAGTGGCAATACTCAAAGAATTGACAATGAGCTGTTGACTATCTAACAGCAATTCTATTTTTTTTTACCCAACATTGTAAGGACGTCCCATTTTGTTGACATAGGATTTATAATTTTGCAGATCTGTTTAAATAGCTGTTACTTTGTATATTTCGCATTGATTGCATTAAAACACTCTCTCTTCATTAATGACAAACAATTTACTTTATGTATCTATACCTTAATCTATATTTATATACTGTAGTTGCTGACTTTTTATGAATAGGCGTGCTTGTCAGCCTGAAACGACACAAATTGGCATTTCGAGCTCGAACTTTTTGATACGAGAAATGAGCTTGAGAGTGCCATGGACACAAAGGGAAGTATAAAGAGAAGACTGAAACTTTCTTCATGACAACTGAAAATACAAATCGAATACATGATACTGAAGTACAAGGCATTTACCGCGAAACTTGGCTGTGTTAATTTGTTCTGAAAAAGATATCAGATCATTAAACTCACTTTAAATGCGCAAACCGGGCTTCATTACGACATCTGGGCTACATGGGCTCACAAAAGTGATGTTAGCCATATACAGCCTTCCACATTTGAAAGTAGAAACACCAAATATTTTATGTTGGCTTCAACTTTAATGAATTTGACTCACTTATTGACACATCGATTGGGCAGCTGATAGGGCGTAATCGACGTCTGCCAAAAAATGGCCCGTGTCTCTTCCCCTGTATGCTCATATTTATTTTTTTGCTTTGTATCTCTTCCTTTTTCTTCCATTCTCTTGTGTCTCATCTCCCTCACTGCGTGTTGGTTTTGTTCTTTGTCTCTTTCCTCTTGACCATTCTTTCATCTTTCTTTTTATCTTTCCACAATGAGTGAATCCAACAAATACATTTTTTTCTTTTGTGCCAAAGGACTCGTGGGAAAAAAGAAAAAAGATGAAGAAAAATTACTCCGTGAATATCATGATCATTTAAATCGTTATCACTTATCCATCCTGGTTGAGTTCGAGTTAGAAAATACAACTGAACCTTTCCTCATTCATCGTAATCCCATGTCAGACATGGCCTTTCTCACCCTGTAAATTTTTTTTTTTTTTTTTTTTTTTTTTTTTTTTTCAACCGTACATCTGTGTTACGACACTACAAGACCTGTAAAAGTTGCCGAAAATAATGCGCCGCCGGTCCCTCCAGCCTCGAATGCCGATACATGTTCAGATGGCCATTCATTACAGGATAGTGTTAAAAAACATGAGGCAGTAATTAAGGTGCTTTGTGAGAGGATAGACGCTCTTGAAGAGAGGTATGACATCCTTTATTTGTTGTTAATGAGTTAATAGACTCTTCTTTTTTTTTTTTTTTTTTTTTTTTTTGAGATTAAATAGAAAGAAGTTCAATCGCCATGTCATGATAAATAGCGAACAAGAACAGTAGTTCTTTGTTATTATTTTAAATAAACCTCTTTTCATATAAAACGTTCGTTCTCCCTCATAACTTCAAAACAATAACTTTCAGTTCTCATCCTTTACTTCCTCATTACTCCATGGATATCTTGAAATATGTTGGAAAAAATCTTCCGACAAAAAAGCAGATCCCAAAAATAAGGTGTACACTCTTTTTTGTCTACTTGATGGAGAACCGCTTTCTGTCCTCATTGATGCATCTGCGCTCTCCTGCACCAGCGTTTGCCGACTCAAAAGGTTTATAATGGCAAGAGCAAATGTCAAAAAAAGATTCATTGCACGGGCTCGTGACATTGACAAAGCTTGAGAACATTCATAAGTTGTTTGACAATTTTGAATCGTTGGCAATGCTTTTCGAATCAACAGAAATGAATCGAAAGCATGACAGTGAGAATGACAATACTGCCGAGAGTAAACAACGACTACGGCGTTCTAAAAGAACATTGGCAAGACATTTATGAAAAACCCGTTGAATAAAAAATCGATATTTATTTCTTTATGATTTATTTTCTATATTTTCTATATCTATATTTTTATATCTTTATATTTTTATATTATCATGTTTTTATATTTTTATATTTTATACTCGGAGATCTTTATCTTCAATACTGATGTCAACACTCACCTTATACTGTAGAACTGAGCAAGGCTAATAAACTGTTGCACATCTCTTTGCTTGGTGGAACGAGGCCACTCTTTGATAGCCTTGACATGGCCTGAGCTTGTCTTGATACCTTCTTTACAAACGACGTGGCCCAAGAATTCAGTTTCTTCTTGCATAAAGGAACACTTGCTAAGTTTGGCATAGAGACGATTCTTCCGGAGAAATGAGAGTACACTGCAGAGATGGGCTAGGTGCTCAGTCTTGGCCTTGGAGTAGATTAGAATATCATCCAGGTAAAGTACTACACACTTATCCAGCAGTGGGCTCAATGCTTGTGACATCATGGTGGAGAAGGAAGCAGGGGCATTAGTTAGACCAAACGGAACAACATTAAATTCATAGTGGCCATATCTATATACAACGAAATGCAGTCTTATGAGTGTGTGCATCAAAAATCCGCTGCTGGTGATATCCTGACATTAGATCGAGTTTTGAGAAATATTTTGCATCTCGAAAGCGGTCGATGAGCTCATCGATACGCGGAAGTGGATGGCGATTTTTGCGTGTGATTCTATTTAAGCCACGGTAATCTACGCAGATACGAAGGGTCCCATCTTTCTTTTTGACGAAAAGGACGGAAGCCCCATAAGATGATGTGCTGGGCTTGATAAATCTTTTAGCTAAGAGTTCATTCAGCTGTTTGCGTAACTCGTCGAGTTCAGCGATAGAGAGGCGAATCACAGGGCGAACAGGTGGATCTGCGTTGGGATCTGTTTCAATTTCATAGAATCGCCACGGTCTGGTGGAAGACCTGCAGGGAGTGAGTCAGGAAAGACATCGGGGAACTCAACCTGTATAATTGACGCAATATCAGGGTGTATGTCGGAATTGGTAGATGAGGGAATTTTACTGTGGCGAGATAAACCTCGCTGCCTGGCTGTGCCGCGGCAGTTTAGAAATGCATGTGACTCATAAGTAGCCCACGAGACTTAGCTGTAATGGAATTGGTTTGAAACCCTCTGCATGACCAGTGCATGGCATTGCCATTATGTGTGAAGTGGGGATCATTAGTGCGCCAGTCGATAGAGGGATTAATTGTGGTAAGCCAAGGTTTGCCGAGAATGAGGTCATAGTATTTGAGGGGATAGACGAGAGGGTGAAGAGTGTCGGAATAAGTGCCACGTTCAAGAGTGATGGAAACAGTATGTTTGGTGATGGAGCGGTCGCCATTAGGGAGTATAATTGGAATGGAGGAACAGGAATGGAGGGGAATGGAGTTTTGTTTTTGGAATGAGGAGCTAATGACGTTACCCTCAGCGCCACCATCGATTAAAATCCTGGCTGGACGGCCATTAACAGCACCAAGGAACGTGAGTAGGGTACGGGCAGCAGTGTCGACTGTGAAGGATTGTAGTTGAAGGGTCTTCTTGCGTGAGCAACGTTGCAGGTTCTTGGGGGAGAAGGCAGGTCCACGGTCTCAGATATTCTAGTCGCCTCAAGCGGGCAAGGTTGTGGAGAGGAAGATACAGAGATCGTGTGGCCATTGGAATGTTGGTGAGTGTTTAGGTTTAATTTATCTCTGGCACGTGGCCCATTATTTACATTTTTAGCTTTTTTCGTTGGTTTCTGACTAATTATTGGCAGGAGGGAGCGTATGCATAGCAGAATTTTTAACTTCAACAGATTTATTTGTAATGTTGGGAAAACTTAAATCTGGTTTGCGCGCACTCCCCTTGTCCAGAAGAGAAGGAGAGGTTGCTTCAGCGACCAAGCCCTGGACTAAGCTTGACCGCTGGGGGCTTTTCCCGACATAGTGGAACATTGCTGGAGTATTTATTCATTTCTGGTAGAGGGACCTGTACCAGGTAACTACGTGTTTATCTACATAATAGAGAGTTTTCGCAACCTCGTTTTTACATCAAAATTCACATCGGGGAGTGAAAAAAAACCTTAAAAAGCATCTCTATTTTTGAAATCCAGCCTTGTCATAAATTTGCTTTGTAAAATACAACAAGATTCGTTTTTCTCGTATTTCTACGTCTAGCCAGAATTGCTTAAATTTAGCCAAAAAAATATAAAAAATTGCCAATTCTATATTTTACCATAAAAGACGCGACTTTTTAGACTATAGAGGTTATCAACATTAGAAATCTCTATTCTATTAGTCATCAATGCTCTAGCCTAGAGTCATTTAAAGCCGTAGTGTCTACGAGCCTTTACCTCCTGCTATTCCTTTCACCGAAAAAACTCTGGCACACAACAGAAAGCATTCTTCTCTAATGAATACTCCCCCAGAACAAAATGAGACGCATAACTTACCTTCCTTTCAGAGATTGTCGATTGAGGATATATCCCAAACGGATCCTGTGGATGATGTTGAAGAAGCAGGATCAGACTCTGAATCACCTTTATCGGTAAATCTGAACATCGTACGGAAATCTGCGTCAGAAAGTGCTTCCAAATCGATACGATTATTTTGGAGTCGAGGTACCTGGAAGTTAGCAGCACCATCATCATTTATATCCCTTCCATCGAGAAGCTGTTGAGCGTTGACGAGGTTTAAGAGAACGGGTGCAATGTGGACGCTTTACATATTTTTTTTTTTTTTTTTTTTAATTCGAAGTATTTATTTTAAAATCAGTCACAGCGTTAAGAAGAACATGGAAAAGTCGTTCTGTATATTACTAATGGCGAAAATAAAAATGGTCATTTTTCAGAAACACATCAAACTCTTTTAAGTTCATTCTCAGCTGATGTAAATCCTTGATGTAAACTTGGTTGCGAAAACTCTCTAATAGGTAGTGAAGACAAAAGGTGATCTTTATTAAATTATTATTACAAGCCTTTTATAGGCTTAAGACTATATACTGTGACACTGGTTCAGGACTACTTGACACCGTAGTCCGAACCTTTCGTCTCTAGATCATACAAAACAGCGGCATTCAGTCGGCAGACTTCCGCTGCTGCTTTTCACACACAGCTTGGGTTGATATCGTTGCTTTGACTTCAAATATGGCAACTTTCCAGAATTGTTCCCTTCGTATTTTGTCCTGTTTCCATTCCTTATTTAACCTTAAGTATTCTTGTTCAAGGTTGATGCGTCCACTATTCTGTAGTGCTGGTAATATTATGGTCATCCAATTTGAATCGAAGACACTCTTATCTTGGGAACGCACGTTGCAGAACTTTAGATAATCTTGATAATTGATTTCGCGAGGATTCTTCAACTGTCTAAAGTAATCCGAGCCAGGGACGTGTCCAAGAGCCGATGACCATGGTTCACATATGCTAGTATACTTGCTGCCGGTGCCTTCGGGAAGAATTGCTGTCATTATTACTTTTGAGTTTATACAGAAAATCTATTTCGGGTCGACAAATAAAGTAGAAACGCAATTGTGAATATTAGTTGGTGATTCTTGCCTTACCGAGCCTAATATTTATTGCAAGAGAGGAATAGTAGGAGACCTGAACACATTGGCGCCCTTTGCTAAAGGGTCCCCAAATGAGTATGCTCCATGAAACGTCTAGGACGCTCACGGTCATCAAACCTTTCTAGCAATAACGAAAGGGGTGATGATGGGAGCTAAGGTGTGCTATTTTAAAGCAGTCTTTATCCGCGGAGTCCCCCTAGCACATTCTGCCACGATTTCATAATAAAAGGCACTTCATTATACGATTGTTTCCAAGACATGTCAGAGAGACATGTATCCGGTGTAAAAAAAAGTGACGAACCCAGTAAAAAAAAGGCTGACAGTGTGTGTGAGAAAGAGAGATGAGTAGGTGTGCTAAAAGAAGGGAGGAGTGGGAGAGGCAGTAGAGAGTAAATGGTGTGTTGAGAGATAAAAGCTGATGCGGAAAATAATATGTAACACTATGGCGATAAAAAAAGTTGTGAATGACGAAAAAGGAAAAATAAAGTAATAGCTAAAAAAAAAAAAAAAAAAAAAAAGACTAGAGAGGACCAAGAGACAATGTCATAAAGCTTTCCTTTTTGGAGCTTTAGCTCCGTCAGACAGACACGCTCGATCATGTTGCGATGATGGGTGGTAGGTGGTCAAGTCGTGCTCCATAAGACCATAAAAATAAAGCGCCAGGTTCCAACAGATGTGAATAAGAACAAGCTAAAACTACTTACTGATGCTTTGGGAATCAATAGAGAGAGAGGCAGAGAGAGACGGAGAGAGAGAGGTGAAAAAAAAAAAAAAAAAAAAAAAAAAAAAGTGTTTGGAGTGTGTGTGTACAGTATGAGTAAAAAAGTGCGTGGAGGTGAAGCAACAAGAGAGGCAGTGTGAGTGGAGATAATCAAACGCGAAAACAAGTCATCAACCATGCGATGATAAATGTCAGCATCACTTGTCTAGCTTTTACCAATAATCCTTAGACGTCAGCCCAATATAATCACCTTGAAGGCTAAGAGGATGAACACCGTCTCGGGCTCGAAGAATGCTTTTAACTGTTCAATATGTGAAGGAAGGGTGATGCCTTTTGCGGTTGAGCGTCCTGCACCTAAAACATCATCGTACCGTCGCAGAGCTTAGAAATTAAGTCCTAGTCCCTGTCCCTCAGCAATAATTGGATAACTTTTGTTGATATCCAAACCTTTCGTCTCTAGATCATAAAAGATGGCGGCATTTAGTCGGACAGACTTCCACTGCTGCTTTTCACACACAACTTGGATTGATGTCGTTGCTTTGAATTCAAATATGGCAACTCTATGCCGCCATTTGCCGTCAAACCGGATTCGGATTGACATATTCACCTTCCGACCACATGGAGTTGAACAACTCGATCCATACTTGCTCTCAGAATCCTTTCGTGCTTGGGCACTTGCTCTGGAAACTAATTCACCACTAAGGGAGAGCGAGAATGCATGGTAATTACACCTATTAACTGAATTTCTTTGCCGAGCTACAGCAGTGGCAGAATCAACGTCTAAAACGTCCACAAACATTCTACTTACGTAATAGCTCGGAGCGACGTATCATGTAGCAGGTTGAAAATGGTAGACCAGCTCGACACAAATACATGCTATGACGTTGGTGAAGCAAACAAATCAAGTTCAATCCACAAGAGGATTTGGGAGATGATCTGAAGAATAGTGTACAGGGTAGTGTCCTCCTCTGATTGAGACAACAAAGTCCACACCCGTTTGTTAAGAAGCTTAAACTGGGATCTCCTGATATTCCTACTAGAGTTGCTGGTGGCAGGATAGAGAGTTGTCAATAGATCCTTCTGGAGGGATTTAATGCTCCGGTAGCACACCCATTACAAGATGATCGAAAGAGGGTCACGCCTTCCGCCATTGAATACGAGATCGAGAACTGCTTCCCTGTCACAGTATATAGTCTTAAGCCTATAAAAGGCTTGTAATAATAATTTAATAAAGATCACCTTTTGTCTTCACTACCTATTAGAGAGTTTTCGCAACCAAGTTTACATCAAGGATTTACATCAGCTGAGAATGAACTTAAAAGAGTTTGATGTGTTTCTGAAAAATGACCATTTTTATTTTCGCCATTAGTAATATACAGAACGACTTTTCCATGTTCTTCTTAACGCTGTGACTGATTTTAAAATAAATACTTCGAATTAAAAAAAAAAAAAAAAAAAATATGTAAAGCGTCCACATTGCACCCGTTCTCTTAAACCTCGTCAACGCTCAACAGCTTCTCGATGGAAGGGATATAAATGATGATGGTGCTGCTAACTTCCAGGTACCTCGACTCCAAAATAATCGTATCGATTTGGAAGCACTTTCTGACGCAGATTTCCGTACGATGTTCAGATTTACCGATAAAGGTGATTCAGAGTCTGATCCTGCTTCTTCAACATCATCCACAGGATCCGTTTGGGATATATCCTCAATCGACAATCTCTGAAAGGAAGGTAAGTTATGCGTCTCATTTTGTTCTGGGGGAGTATTCATTAGAGAAGAATGCTTTCTGTTGTGTGCCAGAGTTTTTTCGGTGAAAGGAATAGCAGGAGGTAAAGGCTCGTAGACACTACGGCTTTAAATGACTCTAGGCTAGAGCATTGATGACTAATAGAATAGAGATTTCTAATGTTGATAACCTCTATAGTCTAAAAAGTCGCGTCTTTTATGGTAAAATATAGAATTGGCAATTTTTTATATTTTTTTGGCTAAATTTAAGCAATTCTGGCTAGACGTAGAAATACGAGAAAAACGAATCTTGTTGTATTTTACAAAGCAAATTTATGACAAGGCTGGATTTCAAAAATAGAGATGCTTTTTAAGGTTTTTTTTCACTCCCCGATGTGAATTTTGATGTAAAAACGAGGTTGCGAAAACTCTCTATTATGTAGATAAACACGTAGTTACCTGGTACAGGTCCCTCTACCAGAAATGAATAAATACTCCAGCAATGTTCCACTATGTCGGGAAAAGCCCCCAGCGGTCAAGCTTAGTCCAGGGCTTGGTCGCTGAAGCAACCTCTCCTTCTCTTCTGGACAAGGGGAGTGCGCGCAAACCAGATTTAAGTTTTCCCAACATTACAAATAAATCTGTTGAAGTTAAAAATTCTGCTATGCATACGCTCCCTCCTGCCAATAATTAGTCAGAAACCAACGAAAAAAGCTAAAAATGTAAATAATGGGCCACGTGCCAGAGATAAATTAAACCTAAACACTCACCAACATTCCAATGGCCACACGATCTCTGTATCTTCCTCTCCACAACCTTGCCCGCTTGAGGCGACTAGAATATCTGAGACCGTGGACCTGCCTTCTCCCCCAAGAACCTGCAACGTTGCTCACGCAAGAAGACCCTTCAACTACAATCCTTCACAGTCGACACTGCTGCCCGTACCCTACTCACGTTCCTTGGTGCTGTTAATGGCCGTCCAGCCAGGATTTTAATCGATGGTGGCGCTGAGGGTAACGTCATTAGCTCCTCATTCCAAAAACAAAACTCCATTCCCCTCCATTCCTGTTCCTCCATTCCAATTATACTCCCTAATGGCGACCGCTCCATCACCAAACATACTGTTTCCATCACTCTTGAACGTGGCACTTATTCCGACACTCTTCACCCTCTCGTCTATCCCCTCAAATACTATGACCTCATTCTCGGCAAACCTTGGCTTACCACAATTAATCCCTCTATCGACTGGCGCACTAATGATCCCCACTTCACACATAATGGCAATGCCATGCACTGGTCATGCAGAGGGTTTCAAACCAATTCCATTACAGCTAAGTCTCGTGGGCTACTTATGAGTCACATGCATTTCTAAACTGCCGCGGCACAGCCAGGCAGCGAGGTTTATCTCGCCACAGTAAAATTCCCTCATCTACCAATTCCGACATACACCCTGATATTGCGTCAATTATACAGGTTGAGTTCCCCGATGTCTTTCCTGACTCACTCCCTGCAGGTCTTCCACCAGACCGTGGCGATTCTATGAAATTGAAACAGATCCCAACGCAGATCCACCTGTTCGCCCTGTGATTCGCCTCTCTATCGCTGAACTCGACGAGTTACGCAAACAGCTGAATGAACTCTTAGCTAAAAGATTTATCAAGCCCAGCACATCATCTTATGGGGCTTCCGTCCTTTTCGTCAAAAAGAAAGATGGGACCCTTCGTATCTGCGTAGATTACCGTGGCTTAAATAGAATCACACGCAAAAATCGCCATCCACTTCCGCGTATCGATGAGCTCATCGACCGCTTTCGAGATGCAAAATATTTCTCAAAACTCGATCTAATGTCAGGATATCACCAGCAGCGGATTTTTGATGCACACACTCATAAGACTGCATTTCGTTGTATATAGATATGGCCACTATGAATTTAATGTTGTTCCGTTTGGTCTAACTAATGCCCCTGCTTCCTTCTCCACCATGATGTCACAAGCATTGAGCCCACTGCTGGATAAGTGTGTAGTACTTTACCTGGATGATATTCTAATCTACTCCAAGGCCAAGACTGAGCACCTAGCCCATCTCTGCAGTGTACTCTCATTTCTCCGGAAGAATCGTCTCTATGCCAAACTTAGCAAGTGTTCCTTTATGCAAGAAGAAACTGAATTCTTGGGCCACGTCGTTTGTAAAGAAGGTATCAAGACAAGCTCAGGCCATGTCAAGGCTATCAAAGAGTGGCCTCGTTCCACCAAGCAAAGAGATGTGCAACAGTTTATTAGCCTTGCTCAGTTCTACAGTATAAGGTGAGTGTTGACATCAGTATTGAAGATAAAGATCTCCGAGTATAAAATATAAAAATATAAAAACATGATAATATAAAAATATAAAGATATAAAAATATAGATATAGAAAATATAGAAAATAAATCATAAAGAAATAAATATCGATTTTTTATTCAACGGGTTTTTCATAAATGTCTTGCCAATGTTCTTTTAGAACGCCGTAGTCGTTGTTTACTCTCGGCAGTATTGTCATTCTCACTGTCATGCTTTCGATTCATTTCTGTTGATTCGAAAAGCATTGCCAACGATTCAAAATTGTCAAACAACTTATGAATGTTCTCAAGCTTTGTCAATGTCACGAGCCCGTGCAATGAATCTTTTTTTGACATTTGCTCTGCCATTATAAACCTTTTGAGTCGGCAAACGCTGGTGCAGGAGAGCGCAGATGCATCAATGAGGACAGAAAGCGGTTCTCCATCAAGTAGACAAAAAAGAGTGTACACCTTATTTTTGGGATCTGCTTTTTTGTCGGAAGATTTTTTCCAACATATTTCAAGATATCCATGGAGTAATGAGGAAGTAAAGGATGAGAACTGAAAGTTATTTTTTTGAAGTTATGAGGGAGAACGAACGTTTTATATGAAAAGAGGTTTATTTAAAATAATAACAAAGAACTACTTTCTTGTTCGCTATTTATCATGACATGGCGATTGAACTTCTTTCTATTTAATCTCAAAAAAAAAAAAAAAAAAAAAAAAAAAAGAAGAGTCTATTAACTCATTAACAACAAATAAAGGATGTCATACCTCTCTTCAAGAGCGTCTATCCTCTCACAAAGCACCTTAATTACTGCCTCATGTTTTTTTAACACTATCCTGTAATGAATGGCCATCTGAACATGTATCGGCATTCGAGGCTGGAGGGACCGGCGGCGCATTATTTTCGGCAACTTTTACAGGTCTTGTAGTGTCGTAACACAGATGTACGGTTGAAAAAAAAAAAAAAAAAAAAAAAAAAAAAAAAAAAATTTACAGGGTGAGAAAGGCCCATGTCTGACATGGGATTACGATGAATGAGGAAAGGTTCAGTTGTATTTTCTAACTCGAACTCAACCAGGATGGATAAGTGATAACGATTTAAATGATCATGATATTCACGGAGTAATTTTTCTTCATCTTTTTTCTTTTTTCCCACGAGTCCTTTGGCACAAAAGAAAAAAATGTATTTGTTGGATTCACTCATTGTGGAAAGATAAAAAGAAAGATGAAAGAATGGTCAAGAGGAAAGAGACAAAGAACAAAACCAACACGCAGTGAGGGAGATGAGACACAAGAGAATGGAAGAAAAAGGAAGAGATACAAAGCAAAAAAATAAATATGAGCATACAGGGGAAGAGACACGGGCCATTTTTTGGCAGACGTCGATTACGCCCTATCAGCTGCCCAATCGATGTGTCAATAAGTGAGTCAAATTCATTAAAGTTGAAGCCAACATAAAATATTTGGTGTTTCTACTTTCAAATGTGGAAGGCTGTATATGGCTAACATCACTTTTGTGAGCCCATGTAGCCCAGATGTCGTAATGAAGCCCGGTTTGCGCATTTAAAGTGAGTTTAATGATCTGATATCTTTTTCAGAACAAATTAACACAGCCAAGTTTCGCGGTAAATGCCTTGTACTTCAGTATCATGTATTCGATTTGTATTTTCAGTTGTCATGAAGAAAGTTTCAGTCTTCTCTTTATACTTCCCTTTGTGTCCATGGCACTCTCAAGCTCATTTCTCGTATCAAAAAGTTCGAGCTCGAAATGCCAATTTGTGTCGTTTCAGGCTGACAAGCACGCCTATTCATAAAAAGTCAGCAACTACAGTATATAAATATAGATTAAGTATAGATACATAAAGTAAATTGTTTGTCATTAATGAAGAGAGAGTGTTTTAATGCAATCAATGCGAAATATACAAAGTAACAGCTATTTAAACAGATCTGCAAAATTATAAATCCTATGTCAACAAAATGGGACGTCCTTACAATGTTGGGTAAAAAAAAATAGAATTGCTGTTAGATAGTCAACAGCTCATTGTCAATTCTTTGAGTATTGCCACTACTGTCCTTCCAGCGAGCACTCATCCGCACTGTATTAAAACTCTTATCGTGCCAGAAATGCACCAAATTCACCCCTTGGTCCAGTTCCGCGTCGGTTTGCCAGTATGGGTGCTTAAAATAGTCGTCCTCACAGGTAAAATGAACAACCCAAGCTTCTTCTGCTGGGAGTAAACGTTTGTAAGTTAGCGTCTTGCTGATATGGTCCTTAATAGAAGTTTGACTCCCTATAGCCAAAAGCTCGATAACAACCGTAGGTTTTCCTGCTTTCTTGATGACAATGTCAATATATTTGTGGTCCTCATGCTCACGGAGGCGCCACTGGCCAATGATCTCATATTTTTTTGTTTTGTTTAGCCAGTTGGTGAGAACTCTCATCAATTCCGTGTCATAGACGCTTTCTCGAGGGACACTGGCGTTGTAGTCGCCCATAACCTTAACTGTTCTCCCCGAACTTTTGTATGATCGATCTTCCGCCTGCAAAATCAAGTCTTTATCGAAAAATCGAAGAGCAATCTTCATAATCTCTAGAATATCCAATGATCCTCCTCTTTTCTTTGGGGGTGACTCTGAAGGAGCGTGAGGATATTTTAATGGGATAATATATCTCCTCACAAACGAGTCAATGAATGCTGAGGCCATACGGTAGTTACTGCCATCAAGTCTTATCAGCACCCCTTCTGCAGTTAGGAAGTCTGCCAATCTCTGTTGTTCCATGTCTGTGATAGATATATCGCCGAGATACCCAATAAAATCTGTTCGGAGAAGATTAACAGCATCTGTAGCTGATTCATTCAAAAGTGAATCGACCATCCTTCTGAAAGTATGGTACGAAAGCATCCTCTTATTCTGATTGTCTGTGGAGAAGTCCTGCCATGTATCGTAATCGAGACATTTCGTCGAGCCGTTGACTTTCGAGCGAAGATCCTCATGAATGGAGCGTCCACAAAGACAAATCATTCCTGGATGACTATTGACATTGAGCACAATTCATTGTATTAGAATGGCACATCAACTCGTGGAGAGTTAACTAAGCTTAAAAAACATACCCATTTGACTTCGAGTGTACGTCTCGCATCACCAAAAGTTCTCCAGAAAACAGACTCATTATTGCGAACGTTAACTTCCTCAAATGATAGTCTAAATGAAAAATATAAGGTCAGTACCGGTACAATAGCGCATACATTGCATCCACTTTATCCATTTTCGCGGAAGTTGGCTTACGGGAGGCAGCGATACCCAAAGTCAGTTAATTGGGTGATAAGTCGATACAACCATGTTGTTTTTCCAGAGGCACGTGCGCCTATGAGCATCACTAAATCGCGGCGAAAAACGCTCTGTAGTATTTCCTTATTTTTGTCATGGTCCGCAGGATCCACATAGTAGACTTTATTAACATCGTCGAATCTGATCGGTCCATTGACTGTCCGGAATGTAATGAGACAGACCATGGCGATTATAAATTGAGGTTCATTCTGCTTCTTTCTGCTCCAAATCATACTTTTAACCTGCTTTTTTTTTATTTTTTTTTTCATCATGTACCAGAGATATTCGAGCTCTGCCTGCTAGATCCCTGCATCTGGGTATCCCACGGGGCCAACAGAGCTTACGAGGAGGACTGTGTTCAAGATGAGTAAGGATGACCTTTCCCAGGCTTGTGAGAGTGCAGGAGGATCATTTGTGATGCGCACTCACACGCTGGAAGAGCACGCACAGTTTTCCAAGAAGGTGCGATCTCCGCACCAAGAGAGTTCAACAAAATAAACTGGGTTGTTACAAACGTTTATGTGAATGAATAAGCTTTTTTTATTTTCTGAAAACAATTAGTCGCCATCTTGCAGTGTTAAGGACGATTCTTGCTCGTTGGATTTGATCTTCTTTTCTCTTCCATGCTCAATTGCCTCTCCACTTCTCTTGATGGAATCCAATAGCTCAATCTCGTTCTCATGAAAGTATTCGGCAATGTTGCCCTCATCTATCACCATTAGAGCCTGCCTTGAATCTGGGGGATGCATGGTCTTATTTTTATCTGACAATTTTCCAGGATACATTAACAACAAGCTAAGATACCTTTCATTCGGAGGGCAAAAGCGGTCAAAGTTGGGCAAATGGTGTACATTGATCGCGTCGCGGCTAATTGTCTCTAAGGCGTGTGCTGCTTTCATACCATCAAGCTTCTTCACGAATTTGAGCTGGACAAATACGGGGTACATCTTTTTGTTGATCTTGAGAATAAACACAATGTCTGGACCAGTGATTTCGTCCATGGGGAAATAAAATGGAGGAATCTCTCTTTTATCAATCCTCGAATCATGGTCGAAATGGGCCTCCAAGAATTGCTCCATAGTCAAGTCACTGCAATCAGCTCCAATGCGGGATTTTTTCCATCCAACTATGGTGGCTTCGTGATCAACCAGATCCAGAGGTGCATTTTTTGGAAACATCCTTTTCGCAAGCGTCTTTTTGTGGAAGATGTTGATCAAGCTCAAAGGAACTTGATACTCCCAAAACTTTCCATGTATTTTGGGGTCTTTAGTGAATGTCCAATAGGTAACTATCATGTTGTGAAATCCAGGGTCTGATTTTTGAAAGTAATTGTGGACTGCAAGAAACACAAATGGTTCGTCGATCACTGTACGATATTCTGACGATTTTGACTTGATAAACTCCATCCTACCAAGCGCCGATTCTACAAGTTGGGGAAGTTCCTTAGGGATAACAGTTTGCGCTCCAAATAACACCATGCGAACAAGTGCTAATTTGACGAGATAGAGCATCTCAGATTTCTGTTCTTCCTCCACATTAAGCGTCTTCATAGCGTGATGAAAGTCAGAGCATAAGTTCCCCCTTTTCCTCTGGTTCAAATCACCAGGGCAAGTTGTTAGCCTTTGTTGCACGTCCTTTATCTCCTTCATCCAGATTGGCTCTTCTTGAGATCCTGGCTCATTTTGCTCCCTTTTAGTCTCCTCGATTGCATTGTGCTTCCATATAGTTCCCTCGATCACGCTGATAATGGGTCGGAATCGGCCTCGGAGGAGTCGGTACATCGTATCGACTGCAGCTGGCGGTATCATTTCATCGATTTTTTCACGACCTGTAGTCACTTGATCTTTAAGACGCTCTAAGTATTCGGTGATTTGTGCTATACTACTCCATCCAGAAAAATTGGTGATACGATAGGATTGACCTCCATCCGGTTCCTTGGTACCTTTGGCTTCTGCGCCAGAATCCTCCAACCATTGAAGGTCATTAAGACTAAGGCCAGTCCCACACGGAATGATACAAACATGTTGCTTATCCGTGGTTACTGTTTCAAGGCCATGGACTACAGGCGATAGTAATGGCCTCGGTCTGCTATCGGGTAGGTTCGATTGGAATCGTTTCTCAAATACTCGGCTGAAATTCTGAGCCTCATCAAGTACAATCAGAATTTTGGTCGATGGATTCAGTTGACTTTGAACTTGTTCAAAAGCTTTTTGAACGACACGGCATACGTTCCCTCTTCCAACACCTCCCCTGTGGAAGCTTGCGGCTATAGTATTGAAAAGCTTGTCAAAAATATCGGGTACCTCCTTGCTGAAAGCTGAGGGGCAAACCTGCAAGAGCATCAAGCTTTCACAAGTTAGGTTTTTGTTCAATCCCAGACAGTGTTGGAAGATCAGTAGTCTTGACAGGAGTAGGCAGTGCGTGATTGCTTGTGTGTTAAGGCCATTTTCTGCCTTATCTTGATTATTATATAACCGTTCCAAATTTGGCTCTTGCATAAACTCAGCAAGCGATGTCAAGTCATTGGATCCTCTATCGGTGCTGCTGGCGTTCAAATAGATGCCCCATTTCTGGGAAAGAATCTCGATGACAGTCCTGGTCTTCCCGCAACCACTAACTCCAAACAATGATAGTTGACGAGGATCATCTTCATAAATTTTTTTGATTGCCTCTTCACATGGATGGTATATAGTGTTATTGAGAGATGTCGATGGGCTAAGGAGAAGAAGACTTGGCCATTCTTTTTTCTCGCTTGGCGCTCCTCTCCTAGGGACTTTCGGAAGACCTGACACAACTCCCCCAGTCAGTGGAAGTTTAAGGTCACCATTGGCGTATGATTCTAGGAATTGCTTGACCTTTCCCTGGAAGAATTCCTTCTTGATTCTCTCAAGCCAGAGTCTCTCTAGATATGACATGTGACGGACAATGTTAATATGTCGTAAAAACTAATGTGCTATATAACCCGTAATATAACCCGACAAATCTCTTACCATCCTCATCATTTAGTTCTAAAGCTCTTGGACCTAAGTATCCATAATGTTTCAAGAAAAGGCGTTAGAATAAGCTGCAGCATGTAGCAAAAGATTAAACGAGAAATTGACTCAATCCACAACCACAAAAAAAAGAAAAGAAAGGGCATTAGGAATAGGCTCCGGGTGTGCAAACTCAATCAAAAGACCCAAGGAATGAATACAGAGCATCTGCGATGCTGAAAGTCTACTTGAGAAATAGACTCATTTACTGTTGACTTGAGAACTCGTACCTGCAAAGGATCCTAACAATTGCAACAGCAATAAAATAAATAAACATGTTAGCATGAACAGTAATGTTGATCGTCATGCACAGGAGTTTAAGCTCCATCTGGCTGAAAATATCAGTAGCCAGCCCATCAAGAGCTACCTTGTGATGGCCGCTGAATAATGACGTGTATGGTTTTCTTCGCTGGAGCAGAACCAAAGACCTCAGAGATCTCGCTTGTTGCTCTGGTGAGTAGCTCCTTTGATTCAATATTGGCGAGATTGATTGTAGCGCCCTCATCAGGAACAGAGATGTGAAAGAGATTCAATTTGTCGGCATCAATCTCTCGGAAGTCGTTTTCTTTTTCCTTCTTGATTGCTTTTTTGAGAGCAGCAATTGAGTCATCAGCATCCAATTGGACTTCAAATGCGGAAGAGTCGCCGTCGAGAATACAAAAGAGCTTAATTTTTTGAGTCATCTTGGTTTAATTGCGTACTGAAAAAAAAAAAAAAAAAAAAAAAAAAAAAGTAATTGTCAGTAAATCAGCAAAGAGCGAATTTGATTAAAGTGAACTGAGCAAGAATGTTGGCGTTAATGTGAAGATTGAAAGAGAAATGCTTAGAGGAAGAGGGATGAAAGAAAGAAAAGATGGATGTGTGAGAAAAAAAAAGAGTGGCAATAGGATGTGCTCACTAAAAATAAAATTACGTACACGCGTTTTTATTCCCATCATCCATCATACAATTATATACATACATTTTCCTCTCTATTGCTTGATTATCCTTCAGAATCTTTGTTTTCGCACCTTAACTACACGTTAAACATTTAATTCAAGGTTATATCTATTTTTTTTATCTCTTTCTTTACATCTTTAATTTTTGCTCCTCCATGTGCACCTCTTTCTCTCTCTCTAGACACCTCTTACTCTCTCTTTCCTCGCTTATTTTGTCCATTATTTTTTTATTTTCCTCACCAATTTTTTTCACTTTTATCTCTCAGCACACATTCCCTGCCCATTTTTTATTTCATACTCTGTGCACCTATCTCTCTCTCGCTCTCTTTGCACAGCTTTTTCTCATTCTGTGAATCAATCATTTCAATTTACTTTCGCACACCGATTTCCTTTCCTTATACGCACCCATTTTCCCTGCTCACTGATTTTTCCTTCGCTTCCTCTGTTCTAGTTTTCCTCACTCAGTACACACCTAATTTCCTCCCATTTGTATTTTCCTTTCATTGCGTTCCCATTATTTTTAGCAATCTCTCTCTCTCTCTCTCTCTCTCTCTCTCTCTCTCTCTCTCTCTCTCGCTACCGTTAGAACGTGAAGGCCTCACATCTGTGCCAATCTTTCATTGACGCTATTATCCAATCGACATTCGTAAGTCTTTATCATTTCGGTGGTTTCCGTCCCTGGTAATCTCTGCATTAATTTGGTGTTCCTGGACAGTCTGCATTATCATGTCTGCGTGCGAAGGTAATGTAATGTGCTTTATTTCATACAGTGGCTTCCAAAATTGTCCACATGTTCCGCGCCCATGTTTTCCATCTTGATAAGAATAATAGCGATGTTTGCTTGCACTTTTATTTTTATTAGAATAAACAAGCATGCCAATGTTAAGTGCAGTGCTCCTATTTGGTTCGAACGGTTCGAATTCGAACAGCTTCGAATGCATTCGATTCGAATAAGCCTTATCCAGGTTCGATTCGAATGGTTCGAATGGTTCGAATAGGAGCGTGGTGGTTTGAATTGCGACGTGTTATGACTGATATAGCTCATAGCCCTGGTTCAGAGTTGTATTGCAAAAAGTTTTATTTGATTTGCTAGTATTGAGAGATGCTTATACTCTTATTTAGAAAACTATATAAGGCTCAATCAAGGCATCTCTTTCAACCAGTGCTCCTATTCGATTCGAATGGTTTGAATGGCTCGAATCATTTGAACCATTCGAATAGCATTCGAATCCTGTTATCTATTCGTATTCGAATCGAATTCGATATCAGGCAAATTCGATTCGAATGGTTCGAATAGGAGCACTGGTCCGGGACAGTTACCTTGGGAAAACCAAACTGGACGTGATGGAGCGGCTAGGTGGGATGAAGTTTTTGATGACTATGGATAGTGGATAATTTGTCGCGTTGCGCAACAGGCCACGTCGGAAAGGTGGACTTTGTCGTATACCAGCCACCAAGTCAGAAGCTCGTCACGTGATTCGAGGCCAAGCAAGTCACGAACTAACGCCACCACGGCTCGGTTCAGGTCTGAGTCATAGCATGTGAAAGCATATGACTCATTGATAAGCATAGCCTATGACTCAATGATAAGCATAGCCTATGACTCATTGATAAACATAGCCCATCGATAAGCATTGCCCATGAGTCATCGATAGGTACAGCCCTATGACTCACTGATAAGCATAGCCCATGAATAACATATAAATAGAGACGCATTCCCCACCTAGTTTAGTTCCTTACCTGATATCTTGAATAAAACTCCTAAGCTTTCCTTGACCCTTGTTCCTGTTCACATATCTCCTACTCTCTTACATACCCACCTGCCTAGTCTGGAAAAGGTCATTCTGCCTTACCCTCAGCCTAGGTTCTCGACAATATCAGGTCAAAACAACTTTTGACCTTTTCACTCCTGTCCACCATGTCTGTTTCTCCCTCTGAGCATTCCTCGACCGGTTCTCGACTCTCGAAGCCGCTGTCGAAGGTCTGCGAGTCATTGAGCCAACCCTGCAGTTTTTTCACCAACATGTTGACTTCTTTAAGAATGTCGCCACCAATCTCGAGGGCCGCCTTAATCTTATCGAAGATGCCGTTCTAGAGTCTCTACCTGCCAAAATCTCAAGTTCCGTCCACGCCAGTCGTAGCTCCATCGTGCAAGAAACCACCAACGCGGCCATGGCTACCCTGCATACTGAAGTCTCTGCCATTCGAAACCTGTTCGATTCCTTCCAACGATCTGCTAATGCCCTTTATGCTACTAAAGAGGAACTCAAGCTTGTCAACACCAAGACCTCAGTTGCTCCCTCTGCACCCCCTGCCGAGCCTAAGTTAGCTGCCCCTGCCGTCTTCTCTGGCAAAAGAGAAGACTGGAAAACCTTTGCAAGCCACCTGGACCTATACTTCGCTGGAAATAAGGAACACTACCCAAATGACTCTGACCGTATCCTCTTTGCCATTTCGCGTCTCGGAGATGGCCCTGCCTTCAAGTACATGGAGAAGTTCATTGGGGACTTCCAAAAATCTGCTGCCATGCGACCCGTTATTATCTCTGACTACTCCGTTTTCCTCAAGACCATGCGCGATGCTTTTGGTATCCAGAATGCTGATGTCGTTGCTCAGGCCCAATTGCGCAACCTGCGCCAGAAGGGCTCGGCAATGGACTACACTACCAAATTCCGTGAACTTTCTGCTGACCTCGGATACAACGACCGAGCTCTTATTGATCAATACCGTGTAGGACTGAAGGATGCCGTTGTTGATGTCCTAAGCCAGTTAGAGGATATCCCCACCACGTTTGACGACTACGCCGCCAAGGCTGTCGAAATCGATGCCAGACAGTATGCCCGCTCCCTTGATAAGAACTTTGCCAACCGACCATTTGCCCCTGCCCCCAAGAATGCTGTTACCTCCGCCAAGCCTGCCCAGGACTCAAGAACGCCCCCTGCTCGGACCTCCGCTCCCGCCGCGACGACTCAAGCCCCTAACATGGCCATGGACCTATCTCAAGCAAGACACCTGACCCCGGAAGAAAAGAACCCCCGCAAAGAAACTGGATCCTGCTTTTACTGTGGTGACTCTAGCCATTGGACTTCCAAGTGCCCTGTCAAAAAGACCTCTCTCGCTAGCACTTCCGTAGATGAGATAGCTTTTGAATTGGGAAAAGAAGAAGCCTAGTAAAATCCACAGGAGTTAACCTAGGCACACTATACAATCTGAATCCTGCCATTATGAAAAATTATGATTCCACTCCCATTACTATCCCCGTCACCCTGTTCTTCCACAACTCCTCCCTTCCTATCCACGCAATGATCGACTCCGGTGCCACTATTTCATTCATCCATGAGAACCTCGCCCGCCTTTATGATGTACCCCTTGTTGAACAACACCTTCGAGTCTCCCTTGCTGATGGAACCACACATCAGTCCCGCCACGCCACACGCATTGTCCTACAAACTACCCAGACTCATTTTGAATTACACTCTTTCCAACTCATCACTCTTGGAAATTACCCTTTGATCCTTGGAATGGACTGGCTCAAGAAACACAACCCAGAAATCGACTGGGCCGCCGGTTCAATAACACTACCCTGCTCACACCAACACACACTTTCTTCTCTCCCTCCTATCGCTACCACTACCATGCCTACTCCTGTTCCTGCTTTTGTCCCTGAAAACCATCTCCGCACTTTACCTCCTCAACTCACCCCTCCTGACATCAAGAAAAACCCCTCTCCTACATCTCAAGCACACGTCCCAGAAAGCCCAGTGAATATTTCCATCATCAGTTCTGCCTCCTTCTGCCACATCCTGAAGCAAGGTCAAGGCATTGGTTACATGATGGATGTATGTCATATGGAACAACTATCTTCTGTTTCCCTCGACTCTGATCCTGCTCCTGCCATTGAACTACCAGCCAAGTATGCCGAGTATGAAGCCGTGTTCTCCCGTCAAGAAGCCGACAAGCTCCCTCCACATCGCCCGTATGATCATGCTATTCCCTTAAAAGAAGGTGCCTCCGTACCCTTCGGCCCTGTCTACAATCTGTCCCAAAATGAACTAAAAGTCCTCTACGACTACATTCAGGAAAACCTCGAAAAGGGTTTTATCCGCCGCTCTGAGTCGCCAGCTGGTGCCCCAATCCTATTTGTCAAGAAAAAAGACGGTTCCTTACGCCTTTGCGTCGACTACCGCGGTCTAAACAATGTCACTATTCCAAATCGCTGTCCCCTTCCCCTTACCCCTGAGACCTTTGACCGCCTAGGAAAAGCCAAGAAGTTCACCCAAGTCGATATGCGCGGAGCCTACAACCTACTTAGAATAGCCAAGGGCGACGAGTGGAAAACTGCTTTCCGCTGTCGCTATGGCCACTTCGAATATCAAGTCATGCCCTTTGGTCTAATGAACGCTCCCGGCACATTCCAAGCGTTCGTTAACGATGTACTTCGAGAGTATCTTGATGACTTTGTCGTCGTGTATTTGGATGATATCCTCATCTACTCTGAAAACCCAGATGATCACGATGAGCACGTCAGAAAGGTTCTCTCTCGCCTACAAGATGCCAAACTTAGCCTGAAACTCGAGAAGTGCAAGTTCGATCAAACCTCTGTCAACTTCTTAGGTTTTGTGATTAGCCCCGATGGTCTCTCTATGGATCCTGCCAAGGTCGCCGCTATTCAAGAATGGTCTGTCCCCAAGTCTGTCCATGATATCCAAGTCTTCCTCGGTCTTACAAACTTCTATCGTCGTTTTGTCCCCAACTACTCAAAGCTTGTCACTCCCCTCACGTCCCTCTTAAAAAAGAACACTACATTCACCTGGTCCTCCGCTGCTCAAAGTGCCTTTGACGACTTGAAGAAAAAGCTGAGCACTGGCCCTATCTTACAACATTTCGATCCCTCCAAAGCCTGTGTCCTAGAAACCGATGCCTCGGATTATGCTCTTGGAGCAGTATGCAGTCAATATGATGACGA